AGAATTTTTAAATATCCACCTGGAGTTTATACCTGATTGTATAGCTGGACTGTGTGTAGGTGTGCACAGGTGTTTGCGAGACCTGTGCCAGCTTCTGAGTCACCGGGACTCCAGTAAGTTCAGGGGAAGTCTCTGTGCAAGGGAACAGGCCAGAGCTGCGTGGTGAAGCTGCGGAGCTTTCTGACCAGAGCTCACTTCTGCCTGGCGAGCGCAGGGTCCCAGAGGAGCGAGCGCAGCCACAGTGTGCCCTGCGCTGTGCCTGGGTGCAGGTGCTTCTGGAGGAGTCAGAATGATGGAGAACAGAGTCCAGGGAAAATGCAGATTTGAGTGTATCTGGTAATTTGTGGATTTTATTAGCAGATAACCTGTGAACAGTTAGAGGCTAGCTGGGAAGGAGGGGCAGTCTGTGCGGACGGGGAAGTGGCGTGGAGGACGACCAAGAGCAGTCTTCCTCCTGGAGCTCAGCACTTGTTTAATATTTTCTTCAGTGTCCAAAGAGAAAAGAGTCCTAACAGATAAGTACTAACTGCGTTTGCTGTGCTGGGCAGCATGTTAGTAGTGAGGGCAACCATGTGTTCCCTGTGCGAGGGATGTGGGGATCCTGGTCTCCAAACCGGTGTAGGAACAGCAAAAAGCCAGAGGAAGGAGGCCCTAATGCAAGAGGAGGTTGGCTTGTTCGGCTGAAAAGGGCCAAACCTGACCTCCAAAACGCACAGCTCTGAAAGGAAAGAACTCTCTAAGAGAAGAAGGTGCTAGAACAAAGGGGGTGTATTTAAGACTGGCCACGGGGAAGCAAAGTGCGGGTGTCAGAAGAGGTTTCTAACTGCACGTCGTGAGCTTTGTTAGAGGTCTTTGCTCAGAAACCTCCCTGCTTTCCTTTCCTTCCTGCAGAGCACCTTTCAGCCCGGTTTGCAGACGACGTCTGTGTAGAGGTGAATGCTGGCTCCTTGGCTCTGAGACAGGACCTTTACTCTCAGGACCGTGCTGTGCTCCTGGGGCTTTGCCGGAGGGACCTAGGTAGTTCTGGTGGGAAACCAGAGCTACTAAAGGGAAGTAACACAGCATGCGGCTGGCAGGACACTGCGCCTCCCTGGCAGGCCTGGCTAAGCCAGAGCTCTTTGCTGGTTGCCCGGGTTTTCGCAGTTTCGGCAGTGGTGACAGGCCGTGTCCTCCTGGAGCTTCCTCCCTGTCCTCCATCCCCCATGCCTGCCCTATGCCTGTCTAACGCCTTGTCCCTCCTGTGCTCCGCAAACCTGGACACCTTGGTGAGGGTCAGTTAATTCTGTTCCCTGGGCCTTCCGTGGCTCAACCACAAACCCTTTCCCAGCGACCCGCTGCAGGAATCTCTGCAGTGGTGTTTACACCTCTCTCTTCCATCACCCAAAGCGCTTCTCCTAAAAATAGAGCATGAAGTAATGGAACTGGTGAGTGATTGTGTGAAGTATGTCCCTGCTCTTGCTTGGGCTCAGGAATGACGTTCTGGAACTGCTTCCCACTGTCCTCAGAGAAAATCCAGCTGGCTTTGAGAAACACGAGTTCACTGACTGTTTCTGACACAGACCTGGGCAGGGCAGCCGCACTTTCTGGTACGTACAGGCTTGTCCAGGAGGACACACATCCAGTAGCAAGCGCAGCGACCAGGCAGTTCAGGGGTGTAGAAGAGCCCAGCGTCACTGCTTAGGAGCGCACCGTGATGGTGGTGACACCCCAAGGGCGCGCTCTGCAGCCAGAGCAGTGGTCCCTGGTGTGGGGGAGAGCTGGGTGCAGGCAGCTCCGAAGCCTTGCCGGGCTCTGCTCTCCCAGCGCGGGCGGCAGAACTGCCGAGGCTCTCATGGGGCTGGGTCATGGTGGCCTCGCTCCTGGGAGGTGTCCTGCTCCTGGCAGCGCACCGTGATGGTGGTGACACCCCAAGGGCGCGCTCTGCAGCCAGAGCAGTGGTCCCTGGTGTGGGGGAGAGCTGGGTGCAGGCAGCTCCGAAGCCTTGCCGGGCTCTGCTCTCCCAGCGCGGGCGGCAGAACTGCCGAGGCTCTCATGGGGCTGGGTCATGGTGGCCTCGCTCCTGGGAGGTGTCCTGCTCCTGGCACCGAGGTGCCCAGAGGAGCACCTCCAGGAGGAGACGGACGGGCTGTGCTGTGTCAGGAAGGATGGACAAGAGAGTGGCAAGGTCGTTGCAATGCGGTGCCAGGTTCTGTCTTTTCCTACCTGAGGGTATGGGGCTCTCGCCAAGGTCTCTCACTTGCCTTTACACGTAAGAGAGCGTGAGCTGGCACAGAGAGAAGCATCTCAAGGAAGGGCTTGGGAACACGGGGTTTAATGTGGAAGGAATCCAGGCAAGGAACAGAGTCGGGAGCTTTTGTGTGCCTTGCACCCCAGCTAGGCATTGGTGTGTGCACAAGACGCACACGCTGGGCCAGAAGGATCTCTCTTTCTCCTCGGTACCGCTTGTGGGAGCAGCGAGACTGGCCCTTGCATCCTGCGTGCCTGGCCAGGAGGAGCCCCTGGCAGCCTGTGCAGCTCTGGCCTCGCAGGGCCTGGCATTGGGTGTCGAGAGGTGCTGCCACCACCAGCTGCTGTCTTCTGGAGCTGTCGGTGAGGAAGGCACTTATCTTCTAGAAATGGGAACAAGTGATCCCCACAAAGAGTCGCTTGGGGCAGGCAGGAGCTGGGAGCCAGCCCTGCTTCTTGTCCTGGTCCTGGGGACATCTCTTCTGGAAGTGGTGTGGTGCTACTGCCTGAGGCAAACCAGCTTTTTTGCAAATGGTGTGAGGTGGTGGCCCATTTCCAAACGTTCATTGTTGTGCAGGTCCCAGACTGGCAGGGCGCTGCGACAGCCGTGCTGCGCGAGGTGTTTTGGTGTCCTTGCACAGTGGATGATCCTCTTCATGAAACACTTCTTGGATCAGCCCTGGTTTCATTTCTGTCTTTGGGAGTTTTGTTGTTTTTTTTTAATTCTGCAGCAGTGACTGGTGTCTCAGAGGACACTGTTCCCATCAGAGCTCTGGTCTGGGATTTCCAAGAGCACTCACAAGTGCACCAGACATGCTCATCGTGACCCTGACTGCCCTGTTCAGCATCTTCCTGGTCCTCGGGTGTGACCCGAGCCAGGACCAGTCCCAGGAGCCCGGCACATTCCCTTGGGGACACTGAGACCATCCGTCCCTTGGTCCCTCGGGCCTTCCCAGCTGCTCAGGGCACGTGGATCCACACCCCTTGGAGCAGACACCTCAGAGCCCCCAGGGAACAGTGGATTCGGGCTCTCCTCTGCGGTGCCCTGCCCGCACGCCCTGCGGTCCCCTGCCCCCGCCCGTTGCTGGGCGAGTGGGTCGGGTGGGTTTGGGAGCCCCAGTCCTTGTTCCCTGGCTTGGCCTTGGCTTCCACCCGGCAGCTTCTGTCCCTCTCCTCAGGGCCTGTGGCAGTCCTGGGTACTTGCAGAGTTATTCCACCTGATTTCCTTACTATTCCTATTCCTTTCTCCATCTTTCTTCAGGAACTGGGATGCCTTTAGGCGTACCCAGGGCTGTGGGACGAGTCACCCTCGCCTGTTTGCTGGGGGATGGAAGTTTGTCTTTCTGCCAGGGAACTCGTTCCGGGCAGCTGCTGGGAGGTGACCCAGGCACCCTGCGCCGAGCCTGGCGGGCTGATGGGGTGAGCTAGGCAGGCCAGTGGTCCGACACGGGACCTTCCAGGACATCGAGAAGTGCATTTGCTGAGGCTTTAGTAAGAGAGCAGATGAAAGAGGTGGATAATTAAAGTTTGCAAGTGAAATGAAGCCCAGGCTGCAGCTCACCTGTGCTCAGTATGGAGCCCTTCCCTGCGTGTCGCAGCACGTTTCGGCAGGTTCCGTCAGCGCCGGTGTCTCGGCAGCTGGAGCAGCGGGCGTTTGCGTTTCCTTGTGGCAGCCCATGTCCCGAGGCCGGCTCAGCTCACCATGCCCCCTTGACTTCATGGTCTGTTCACTTCTCCGGCTTCTTCCCTCCTCCTGTGCCAGCACCGAGTCAGTTGCTCTTAGTTTGCACTTTGTTCAGCCCTTCCCAAATTTCACTCCTTGTTGTGCCTCCTGCCCCTTTATACCAAGAGTTACTACATCGTAACTTCATCTGAGCTCTTCCCTGCTCAGAAACTCGCTGTGAATATTCTTTGAAATTCACGACATTCCCCCATTTCACAGGATGGGAAGGATTTGTCCCACTTGTGTTTTACTAAGTTTTCAGCTTCTGCTGTATTCTTGGATTTCGATAGCAACCACAGGTGGTTGTTTGGGTGGATCAGCAAAGTAGCTGCCAGGAGCAAATGTAAAGTATTTGCCCAGACCTGTCACCTTGTCAGGGTTCTCCCACATCCCTGCAATTTGTTCCAGGTTACAAGGAGTCTATAAAATATAAACCACAGTTTAGCAAGTTTTCTTTCTAGGAGCTTTAGCATCCATCATCTAACATCCGTGGGGTTTGTCCCTGCTGCCTTGGCAGGAGCTCAGACTCTGCAGCCTCTTCTGAACAGGGATATTTTTCTTTTTTTTGACATGATTCACACATTATGCATTAAGTAAATATCAATTGTATGCCTGATCCTAAACTTCAGCTGCCTTAGAAATTCTCTTCAATTTGGTAGCCCTGTCTTTCTGCATCTGTGCCTTCATCACAGCATTTGCAGGACATTTCTTCATGCCGTGTTGCATCTGTGGTTTGTGGGAGCTCCCCGTTCAGGGCTCAGAAGTCACTGGCAGGGTGGCACATTGCTGTCCCTCGTGGTCCCCACTTCCCTGGGGCATGGCAGCAGAACTCCCTCGCTCAGCGCAGGGTTCCTTGGCTGGGCAGCCTGCGGGGGAGCTCCCTGGTGACATTCAGTGCTCCAGTCAGAGTGCCCGGCCTCCTTGGCGCTCAGGGTACAAGCAGACCAGGATCCCACTTGTTCTGCATTTCAGGGCTCTGGACAGGCTTGGGATGGTCTGAGTCTCGTGCCAGAGAAGCCACCTGCTCACAGTGAGGTTTCCTGGAGGCTGGGGAGCAGCCAGGTGGCCTCCAGCTCCCCAGTTCGAGCCTTCAACTCCTCAGTTTGAGCCTCCAGCTCCTCAGTTGGAGCCTCCACCTCCGTGGTTTGAGCCGTGCGTGCTGCCAGGCTGGCAACAGGTCAGAGTTCTGTCTGATGAGTCCCTTTTGGAACGGGGCTCCCGTTCCTGACCGAGCAGTCAGTAGAGCTGGGCAGGCTGCGGAGGATCCGTTGCCTGGTGCTGCCCTGTCTCCATCGTGGTGTTTGGGTCTTCCAGACCCACCTGGAGATGGTGGCCCTTGAAGATGTTGTGTCAGGGCAGCAAGACGTTGTGTCAGGGCAGTGTGACCCCCCAGGGACTTCACCTCCCTGCTGTGGGAGGGCGTTTTGCTCTGGCTTTGGGCAGCACTGTGCTGTGGACAGGCTGCTGCGGAGCTGCTTGGGAGCCCGGGGCAGCCTGGGTGAGTAGGGACACCGTCACTGCCCAGAGGTGGGTGTGAACAAGGTTCCTCTCAGAGCCCTTCTGGAGCAGGATTTCCCTGCGGCACACCTAGGTGCCCTTGCTCAAGACCCCTTGCTCTGCCTCAGCTGAGAAAATTCTTGGATGGCTCTTTCCTCTCTTAAGTTTTTCGTGTGGCTTCTCCCACCTCTGTCCTCAAAAATGAGGCGGGCAGAGCTGGGGGGGGAAGAAAAAAAATACTGGGTGTGGGTGGCGATCGCTGCTCTGCCTGCGCGGCCGGGCTTGTCTCCCCGAGCACCAGCTCCTCATGCCGCTTGTGCTTGCACTTTCTGCTCTAAGCAGTAGGTGGGAGTGGAGGAAGTCCTGGGCCCTCGGCCGCTCTGCGAGCGGAACTGGCAGGACTCGAGCTGCTCCCTGCAAGGGCTGCGGAGCTCTCGTAACCTTCCAGGGACGGCTTCTGCAGGGCGATTTGGAATTACTGGTCAGAGGTCAGCAGAACTGCTGAGGAGAGCTCAGGCTGCCACGTGCCTTGTCGTGGTCAGACGTCCTGGACTGCAGATCTGCAACGCTTCTGTGCTGGTGTAGCTCCTTGGGACCTCTTGAAAGCTCATTTCCAGGTCGCTGCCCACAGAGCTCGCATGAGCAGAAGGGGATTGAGCAGCTGCTTGTCTGAAAGGAATGCGTTGCTGGGACAGGTGCACGAACTGCACACTTACATCTTCCCCTCTCCCTGAAGCTGAGCAAGTTGTTAGGGAAGACACAGCGTGTCATTCCACATGTTCCCAGATGTCAGTCACTGCAGCCAAGGCTATGGTGGTCCTTGGGCACAAGAGGTGTGTTGCCACCCTTGGGTTCTGCTTGCATAAACCCCCAAACCAGCAGCAGAGATGCGTTTTACATAGAACCAGAGCCTGGCTTGTGGCACCCTGTGCTTCAGGACACTGGAAAAGTGAAGACTTGAGTCAGGACACACATCCCCGTTAGAAGCATAGAAGGGACCAAGTGGGACTTGCCTCGCAGATCCCTGTCCGATGGGCTCTGATGAGAGGAGGCTTCTCACCCGCTGCCTGTCTGAGGGATAGCTACACCCCTCCTGTGTTTTGGAGCCTGAGAAGAGAGACGGCTGCTGCTGTTTGGGGCTGTGGCTCATCGCTGCCTCCCTGTCTTTGCTCCAGACCTTTGCCCGGAAGGGCTTCCCTGGCTGCCGGCCAGCAGTTGGGTCCCTCTGTCCATTCATTCATCTGCTGCTCTTCCCCTGCGGTTTCTGAATTTTAACATTTTACCAATTGAAAAAACAGAGCAGAAAGAAGGGAGATGGCTTTCCCGAGACCCCCGTCGTGCGGGAGCGGTGCATGGCATAGGATGTCTCCCTGTCCCAGTCCCGTGCTCCTTGGCCCTGGTGCTCAAGCCTATGTGGGCAGAAGGGGTTTCCCCAGTCGTGCTCTCGGCACC